TTTAAATAACGTCTTAGGAATAGGATTTAATATCCAGGTATGATATACTTTTTAAATACGTTAATAAAAGGTTGAGCGTATATTATATTTATATGCTTTTACCGCGGCAATTTTTAACAAATAATAAACGTATTTTATACCACATCCTGTGCAGCTAATTACAAATTCGTTGAAATATTATTTATGAAATGAAAAACATAAACATTTGGAGAATACGATTATAATCCAGGTACGATTATTCAATTTTAATTATATTCTTTTTCGTTATTATATTCTTTTTTCATAAATATATTTACGAACACAACATTTCATAATGAGCCGGCACTGGTTTCTGACATTCACCCGACATTAAGAAATATTATATCATATATCCAATTCAAAATTGTATTACTCTTTTTAAACTGAATTTGTTTCTTAAGATGATTTTTGAAAAATTATATATTTGCGCTGATTATGACATATGTAGACTATATATAACGTTTACATCAAATTAAGAAGTAGTCTACCACGTAAGGCAGTTGGCTCACGATGCAGAGGTCCCGAGTTCGAATCCCACCAAGGTAAGTGTGTTTTTCAAATACAAAAAAATATTTATAATCATGGACTGCATCTTAAGAAACAAATTTAGTTAAAAAATAGTAATAAAATTTCGAAATAAATAATTTTTTTTATGTCGGGTGAATAATTATTCGAATTTAATTCGTATATGTATAACGTTTAATACGCGAATAAAAATTGATATATGAAAACGTATATGAGACGGTCATAAAAACGGAAATTATACTCAAGTCATATACGTTTAATATATCATGTTTATACTATACGTTAATACCATAAATATACGTATATTATACCTTCTTGTTCTTATTGGGTTGTTTCATTTATTACTTATATCTGTTTATATATGACATATGAGATTACAAGGATAACTATGTTTTGATATTAACTATTCACACTTGAAATCTAGCTACCGTTATGTAAACTTTAGATTTTCACTACGAGTAATGAATATAGAAACGCAGTCTATATGAAGTAATTAAACTTTTTATTTTTACAGAGTTACATCAAGCAATTTTAGAAACGGAGAGAGAAAGAAGGAAATAAAAAAAACATTGTTCTTCTCTTGGAAAATTAAAATGTTTTAAAATTTAAACGCCTCATGAAAAGCTTTGTTTAATAGGTAAGTGAGTAATAAAAAGTTTAATTGCTTCATATAAGTTACGTTTCAATATTCATTGCTTGTACTAAAAATCTAAAGTATACGTAACAGTAACTGTATATTTCTAGTATGGACAGTGAATATCAAGACACAGTTATATGTGACCTTGTATCTTTATATTACATATTTAAGCAAATATAGATAATGGATTATTATTATTGCATTATATTATAGTGTTATTATATTACATTCAGACAGCTAAAAAATTC